GCTGTGCCACAAAGCTATGTACATCCATCATATCGTATCAAATCCATGTCCCACCACCAAAGAGAAAGCCATCACATACTGCGATGAACCACGAGGAAAGGGGAAGACTGAAAGGTGGACGCCGGTCAACGCACCCAAAGCATTGTCCGAAGGACAGGAGACAACAGGAAGAAGCCTATACAGGACAAACGAGGCCCAAGGAGAAACCAAATGCAAAAGCATGTCATAAACTCCCTCCGAACCGTACCCTGATCTAACACCTTACAACAAGAGAAGCAAAGTATGGACCCGATGAAACAACGCTCATGCCTTCCCTGTTTGAAACGCCCCCATGACTCCACCTGGACCACCAGGAGTTAGTGCACCACCTAAATTACCACCGTGATGTTGAGGAGTTTGACGACCAGTATTGGGTGTGCTCGGTGTCCCGGCTGCTGAATAGATAGTGGCTCCATTGAGATTCGGAGTTTGATGAGGTTGCATATGATATGTCAGTGCTGGCATTTGGCCGTTGAGGCCCCAGATCTGCCCCGAGTACTTAGCCTCATCGATTTTGCCATTGAAGATCAGCTGACGCATCTTCCAGTAGATCTCGCCCGTGACGAGTGAGTCAGACCCTGCCTGATGCGCAATGCCGACCCGTTTCACACCAAGCTCGTCTGCAATATCCTGAAGACCAGACTTTTGGCCCAGGTTCGTCAAGATCTGCGCGGCGGCTGGAGTCAGCGGCGAATCGTTGACAGCTTGATTGCGTCCTGCATGTTTCATCAAGTATTTGATGTCATATAGCGACGGGAAGAAAATCTTCAGGAGTGTGTGGAAATCCTCCTCGTTTTCTGGCAGAGGTTTGCACAACATGATCTTCATCAGGTAGCCAAAGTCGTAGCCGGAATGGAACGAAACCCAATGTACATCGTCGAGTAGGACGAGTCCCGAACTGATCAGAAGGGCTCCGAATTCGAAAGGATCGATACCGTTCTTTTCATGCATATTGAAGTCAATGCCGGCCTTGGCGAGCATGGCTGTTGATTCCTGCGCATACATGTCGTTTTCTAACGAAAAGCGGAAGTTGAACTGCCATGTGCAAGGGGCGGGTACCAGGCTGTTTCCCAATGGCTGTCCATTTGCATCTGTAGCATTGGGCGGAGGGACTTCCCCGTCGGCTGAGAACAAGGTGATGCCGAGTTGGATCATTTTCAAGAGGTCAACGTTGCATCGAAGGGTCTGGTAGTGATAATCGGCTTTATTCGTAAATGATCCGATGGGACGAGCGACAATGCCAGGGAACTCCGTATCCTATGCGAGGCATCAGTAATTTTGATCCTTAATCAAACCCGGGATCGTCACCCCAATGCAGCCATACCATGCTGATATAAGGATACTTCTCGACCAGCTGCCGTAACACGGCCATCTCCTGGGCCAGATTGTGTTTCCATACATCCCGTATCCGAGTCTTCACGCCGCCCGCTTTTGTCTCGAGAGCTAACCGGCCATCATGAGTTTGAAGTAATTGCTGTTGCTGCATCTGTGCCCCTCTCGCGAAACCGATCTGGGCCGCATGGCTCGCCAACCCAGAACCCCCTCCATCACCAGCCCCCGTAAACCCGGCGACAGACATGCCGTTCGCAATCCCTGTCCCTGATAATGTAAAAGGATTGATATTAGTGTTGGGGTTGCCGGCCGCAAAACCAGGGTGGCCGCCAAGGGAGGGAGGAGGGAGCGCCGTGTTGGCCGACTGGGCGTGGGCCGGATGATGTTGAGCTTGCTGCTGTTGCTGCTGTTGCTGCTGCTGTTGTTGGAGATGCGCTTGTTGTAAATGTGTATAAGGCCCGCTCAGGCCAGAAGGCCCGTATCTGCCGACAGGAGGTGGCATATTGTCGTGTGCAGCGCGGGGTTGTAGCCAGGCATCTGATAATCAGAGGAGTTGGAATCGATGGGGTTCCAGTTTCGCGCTGGAGATTCCCTCGCCGCTGCAAGACCACAAAGGCGGACAAGCTCTCGTCGCCGAATTAGGTCTAGCGCAACTGTCCGAGTGCCAAGCCCTGTTCCTCTCGTCCTGTACTGCTTCAACTTCTCCCGTTCCTCGCCGGTGGAGATCAATCCAGAATTACTTTACTTTCACCTGTTCTTGCGAACCTCTGGAACTTCGGAGACACACCCTGGCCTCCGTCCCCTTTCTACCCGTCAAGTCCGCATACGTTCCCTCTCATCCTCATCATCCAACATGGCCAACCCCACCGGCTTCGACATCAACGAATTCAAGGCCGCGGCCTCCCCTCGCTCGGTCTACGCCAAGAGAGATCCCTGGGCCCGATAGTACGATTCCGACCATAATCCACTGACCAATTGATGGCATACTAACCTCCCCTAGTGAAGCATGGAGATACACCGGCCCCTTCAGCCGCTTCAACCGCTTCAAGCGTATCTTCCCCGGCTTCGGTATCGCCAGCGTCGCCTTCGCTGGTTACTGCGCATACGAGCACTTCTTCCTCAAGGACGAGCACCACCACGGTGAGGGACACCACTGAGCGTGCTTTCCGGGGATGAGATGGGGTGGATAGGCTCGATGTGGGATGCATGGGAGCCAAGGCAGAAGCACGGATACCCCGGTTAAGGTTGGATGCGTTTGCCAAGGTTGATGGAGAGGAATGTCTTCATTGCCGTGGGGCTGGCTGTACGCTTTACGTACCAGTTGGCAAGTCAGGTAGGCTGCGCTGCCGCTGCCGCTGCTGTGGGGTTGACGACGACGAGGCTCTCGCTCTTAGAGATGGCGCTTGGGATGATTGATTTGACCAATGTACATATCCTCTTTGTTCTGCTACACCAAAACTGCTGGTCTTTCTTTTATCTGCTGGTCTACGGTGGTCGTAGGGTTGTCTTTCTTCAGCACAATATTTGGATGTGCAAACAAGGAATGTGAATTGTCTTGGATGAAGCATTAGAGTCGTCAAATGCATTAACTTTTCACTTCATGAGCTGCTGCCTCTCCTGTCTATACATATAAAGAATGATCCGAAGTACTCAATTACTGCAGGCCAATTATTCCTCAAAAACCAATGCAACACCGTCGTCACCAGCGGTGACGACCCGCTTCCCATCAAACCCTTGAACAAAGCCCATAATGCCTCCCGACTGCTCCCCCTCTCCGTTCTCCACGAGGCCCAAATGACCCTTCCACTCTTTCAACAACCCCTCCGCTGCAGCTGCAGTTCCGCCCCGAGCATCCCAACGTCTGACGACGCCGTCCATACCGGCGGAGGTGAGAAGCCACGGGCGTCCCTGGGTAGCCGCAGCAGCAGGGCGACTCGCGAGAGCGGCCAGGTTCGTCTGCAGGAACTCCACCTTGACGACCGCAGCGCCCTCGTGGGCCTCCTTGATATGCCGACGTACGGCGAACCGGTGCGCGGCATCGAACAGCGCGATTGAGCCGTCGACCGAGCCAGCGGCGAGAAGGGTCAATGGCGGAGAGGAGAAAGAGAGTGTCTCGATGCCATCGCTTTGAGCCTGCAGCGAGGCAATGATCGTACCAGCAGCGGAAGCACCGCTTGCGGCTTGATTGGCGGGACCTTTGGCCTTGGACTTGGCGGCGCCACCGGCGGACACAAGGCGAGGAAGACCGACCACCTTGATGTGGCCCTCGGCTCCTCCAACAGCGGCAATACCACCGCCCGGCGAGATCGCAATGGAATACAACCCACCATCAACGGCAAAACGCTGATCCTCGGCGGTCAGGCCGACGACGGCGCTGGTGCCGGCGGAATAGGAGATACCGGCGGCCGCGGCAGCGCCCCAGACATCATATACATAGAAGCTGCCGTCTTCGGAGACGGTAGCGAGCAGATTACCATCGGGAGTCCACGCACCAGCCGTGCAGGACGCAGTGTGCTGGAAGAAGGTCTGGATCATGGAAATGGGCTCAGCGGAATCGTTGTGGTTGATACGGAAGACCCAGGCGCTACCGTCGTTTGCGCCGAGAGCGATGACATTCTGCTTCTCCTCGTCGTTATTCGGACAGGGGCAAACGGCAACCCAGTTGATCTCCTCGACCTCCTGAGACTCCGCGACGAATTCCCACGAGAGTCCGGTCAACTGGGGCGAGTTATCGCGCCATGCCCGCAGCCGACCGTCCAAGCCTGCCGTCACGACGTATTCTCCCTTCGGTTCGGTGAACGCGACTGCATTGACGGTATCCGTGTGTCCATCCAGTTTGGCAATGGGCGTCAGCGACGTCCGTTCACCCTTTGGTTGCGGATTCGACTCGTAGCTCTGGGGAAGGACAGGCCGCTCGTCACGCGGCGTCGAATCAAAAATGTACGCAGTATCGTCGCCAGACCCTGTGATAACGATATTGTTGTGAACGGGGTGTTGCGCGACGCAGAATACGGAGTCTGAGTGGACGTCGAAGTGAGCCGAAGAGTCGTTTTGCAGTGTAATTTCTTGGTCCTCGTATGTCATAGCTTGGTCGTCGTCCTCGGGATCCGACTCCATAGGGTGGTCTTCATCGCGAGTGAAGATCTCTTCCGCCTCATCGGCCTCAATGTAGGCATCTTGGTCTGCCTCACGATGGGGGTCTTGTGAAGAGGACATTTTGAAGGTTGATGAGGGCTTGAAAAGAGTAAAAAGAAAATGGCCTCTGGAGAGGGCGGAAAGATGAAGAGAACGTGCTCTGGAAAGGCGCAGATCCGGAAGTCTTTTCACCCCTCTTATTCTCAGGATACACTGCACATATACAGAAGAGCTTCGAATGTTTTTTCCTTGCTGATCAATCAGTATCTGTCCGATAGTTAACTAAGTCAACACCCCGCTTAGAAATTCATTTTCTCCCCGCGCCCCTGTCAAACAATGCAAACAAGCTTTTCGCCCGTTTTGTAGCGCAGACTGAACTACAGAGGACTGAAGAATCGTATTATTCTGCTCTATGTTATATATTCCATAGTATGAAAAAATGCACGCTATATTTCTGGAATTGTCTACAGGACGTCAGGATCTAGTTGAATGGTTTATAACTTGGCCCCAGCCTTTCTCCGCAACTCCTTCTCCTGGTCACGGAGCATTCGGCGCAAAATCTTGCCGCTCGGGCTCTTGGGAATAACATCGATGAAGCGGACTCCTCCCTTGAGCCATTTGTGTCTAGCTTTGTGGGACTCCACATGCTTCTTGATAGATTGGATAATAGCTTCATCGTCATTGCCAGCGGAGGCAGACTTGACCACAATGGCCTTGGGCACTTCACCGGCGGCCTCGTCCGGAATAGCGATCACGGCGCAGTCTGCGACTGCTGGGTGGGTGAGCAGATGAGCCTCTAGCTCCGCTGGAGCGACTTGTAGGCCCTACGATGTATTAGTCAATCGAAACTGAGTGCTAGTGAAGATATACAACTCCGGGGTTAACAGACCTTGACCTTGATCAACTCCTTGATTCGATCGACGATGAAGATATGTTCCGTACCCTTCGGGCTTACCCGAACGACAGCTTCATCACCGGTGCGCATCCATCCGTCCTCGAATGTTTCCTTGGTAGCTTTCTCATTGTTCAAGTAACCCAAAACCACACTTGGGCTGCGAACGACGAGTTCACCAGGTGTGTCGTAGCTGGTTATCTCCTTGCCCTCAGGGGTCATGATGCGTACCTCAACACCAGGCAGCAAGGTGCCGGATGAGCCGAGGAAGACGTCTGTGGGATGGGTTGAGCAAACGACAGTCGACGTCTCCGTGAGACCTACGTTGTCGGGGTTAGAGTCCGACCGGATATCTTGTGCTTTGATTCGAGTCAATGCTTACCGTAGCCCTGACGAACTATGACTTTCGGATAGATCTTCTTGAAATCTGCCGCCGTCTCCATTCCTAATGGTGCTGCACCTGTGAATAACGATGTGACCGAGCTCAAGTCGAACCTGGAGCAAACGTCCTGGTTTCGCAGCATGGTAATAATGATTGGAGGGACCTTGGAGAAGGGATACTCGGTCAGCATTTGCCCTATGCTTATCTTCGCTCTACGAGTTAACCTCACTTACCAAGAAGAGAGACGTGATCTTGAACTGTTGAATTGCAGAGAGATACGAGTTGAGCTCGAATTTCGGCAGGACAATGACTTGATCGCCTCTGAAAGGCCCTGAATGGCAAATAACCACCAGCGCATAGATGTGACTGTAGGGCAGCAGACCCAGTGCGATATCGGTGTATCGCGGTCCGCCAGTTGGAGTCAGGGAGTCCCGCCATGTTTTCTCGGACGCTGTAATTTGCAAGGTATTCGCGATGACGTTGCGGTGAGAGATCATGACTCCTTTCTAAGAACGAAATAAAACGTCAGCGTAGTGGGGTTGTACAGTGCGATCTTGATTACTTACAGGCAGACCCGACGTTCCACTGGAGTAACACAGGAAAGCGGTTCTACGAGCGCCCTCACCCGCGCCCCAATTCAAATTTTCCACTTTGGGAAGCAATCTCCCAATCTCTATCAATTGAGACATGGTCTTGAAGCCCAATCCAGCTTCCTTTCCACCTCCGGCCTGGGGCGGTACTTCCAGCAAATAAATCCGATCCTTCGGGAGGCCGATCATTGCGGCGGCTTCCAGAGATGTAGGAAGCAGGGGAGCGCATGTAAACAACGCCTTTGCCTTGGAGTCAAGCAGCTGATGCTTCAATTCAGCCGCTGAATATGCCGCATTGGCCGGTGACACGACACCGCCAAGCTGATGGACAGCCCAGGATAAGGGCAGCGTGTCAACCTAGAATTGTCAGCAATCCATGATTAACATTGGCGATTCCTGAGCGATCTAGAATCAAGCACTTACAGTGTTCAAGCTGAAAATTGCCAGAGTCTTGTCCCATTCGGTACCGCTGTTTGGTGCCCAGTTCAACTCTTTGGCAAGCGCCCGCGCCAGAAGATCGACTCGTTCAGTAACCTGGGGAACGGAGTAGGATTTCCCCGTGAGTCCGCAGGTGTACGGATCTCTCGACTGGCCAGCCGGGTGACGGCCATATTTCTCATTCAGCATAAATTCGCTGATGGGAATGTTGTCGGGAATTGGGGCCAGCTCGCCCGCCGTAGCTGGTGGGAGAAAGACCATGGTTGTTGCGTCAGTAACCTACGTGACGGAAGAGGTTGGAGAAGGGAGAGACGTTGAGGAAAAAGAAAAGAGATCTGAGGGCTGAAGCAGGAGGTCCTCGGTAATAATAATTAGTTATCCTGATTACTGATTAGTCTACCCAGCGAGTCATCAGCTTTGGACGTAACCGGGCAGTTGGGGAGGTCTTGATTCTTAAGTAGTTGACACCGGCTTCTTTTTCGTGGCACTGCGGGGAAAGCTTCTATGCTATTTTACTAGCTCGGTGTCTTCGGTTCAACTGGCCTCGCCCCGTGTTACCTTGCCGAAGATATAGACATGAACACGAGGTTGATGAAATCCCTTCCTATTCAATTACCAAGGTTAATGGTTTATATTTATTGTCTGAAATATATATCATGCAGATATGACTAGTTTTCTGCCGGCATACAGGGATCCCAATCCCACAGGAGCCTGTCTGCGCTGTCTGCGCTGTCTGCGGACGAAGAACAGCCGAGGGAAATCTCCAAAATCTGGACAGAGTTGGAGTCTCCAACTTGGCCTGTTGAAATTGCAGTGGCTTGTTGAAGGGTCCACAGTAACTACATTTAACTAGGACGAACTAGTACTAACCCGCACTGGTACAGTTTAGCTCACGGATCTACAGATCCACGGCCGGGAGAGGTGCTTGACAACTACAGTTCTGAACTTGTAGTACAAGAGCATGAGGCGGTCATGGCATTTACTATTCTTTCAAAAAAGGAGCACAGTATCATCTTTTGATATTGCACGAGTCATGCTCTCGAAAAAATATGTTCCTCAAACTGCCCAGAATCCCTCATCAACCCTGGCTTTTAATCAGCGGTATAGAGGTTATCGTCGAGGCATGCCGGAGTCTTGTTATAGAGATAGCCATTTAATTGTCCTCCCTGTCTGCGGCCTACTTTGACCAGTGGTTCTTGAGCTCAGGGCTGTGCGTTAGTACGCAACATGTCTATGGTAAGCAATCCATTTCGATCTATGATGAGAACTGCGATCATGATAGGTCCATGGAACTGAAATTGAAAATCTTTCAGAGAAATGTGACCCCTGTAGAGATTGCTGCTTCTTAATTGCACTAAAACTTCCTTTCTTCCCATATTCTCCCTAAGCTCATTGAAAGAGTCCCTTAATTCGGCCCGTTCGGTTTTGGTTCTATATATCTTGATCAGATCCTTAGCACCACCTTATCATAGCTATATCCAGAAAACTTAATTAGATCTGAGCTATAGCTGCATCTTTTACACTTCTGTCACATCTTTGAGGAAATCCTCTCACAGTTGCTAATTTTCCTGTGATTTAAAGACTCTGCAAACATCAACTACCATCCTTCTGCCTCTTTCCCTTCAGGGTAAGGCGCCAATCTCGTGACTGCCGGTGATCAGGATCCCAAGGAAGAGAATAGCTCTGTCTTCCTCTCTCTTCTTCTCATCCCTCAGGCCGCAGCTTAGCAGCTTCTATCAAATTCAACGAGGAGAGCATCAACTATATACTCTTGACAGACTTACGGACGTGATTCGTTTCGCTTTATTGATACCTACCAGCATCTCGTCTCCGTCCCCGGGACTTTTCAATTGCGAGCTAGGCCTGACCGGCTACTATCTCCTATATACTTGCTTCAAATCCCAATCCTCATTGTGTCTATCTCCGGGATACTCGATTCCTGTTGATCGAGATTCGAAGATCCCAGAAACGGTTCGTGTTTGCAGCCTGAAATATACCTTTACGACATCAATCCACCCACAGTCGCTACTAGAATCATTAGAAGCTGCGAGTGAGCGACGCAATTCTACATGCAATTCCTCTTATAGACGCCAGATTCATTCCGTCTCAGAGTGGAAAACATCGTATATTACAAGGCAATAAGTATGAGCCCAAGCAGGCTGACAAGAGCTTCGGCACCAAAGCCCAAGTCCGTGAGGACGGGTCGTATACGGAAAGCTCGCTCCACAGGTAATGAGTCCAATTCATCTGACCGCCTGCTGTGCTGTTCTCAGCGTCTTCGAGCCTTTCACACATATCTGACCTCTACCAGTCTCACCTATTAGTGTTGCCGCTCAAATAGTGACTGAAAATGGTGCTACGGAACCAGTCGATGGCCAGCCTCCCGCATGGGCTGAGGTTTGTAATCACCGAGCCCATTGAAGCATTGGCTGACCCTGTCTCAAGTGCCGCCCAGAGCTCTGTGATGCTCTTCCCTGGTTTCGTGCAGTTCAAGGTGGTTCTTACCACTGTGACCATCTGTGCTGGGGTTTCCTGCTGGACGCCGACTGTGGTATTCGCTCATACATCGATGAAGAGGTGGTAGTTACGAGGGTGTAAGTGCAATCCTAATTTTAGAGCATTCCTACTTGTCGTATCTAACAATACTAGCGGAGGAGGGTGCACTAAGGATGCAGAGGGCAACCTCATCCTCGTTAGAGATCAAGGCAGCGAGGACAGTGCTGTCAGTAGCCTTATTAATAGTATGAACCTGAAGGTTCCAGTGGGCCTTATTATAGGTGAATCCTCTCTGTTGCCGCCAGAATATCCCTTCTGATTTGAGGGTTAGGAGACCGCAACAGACTTCTCGGAAGGAAGCTACCACACCGATACAACGTAATGGATTACTTTCGCGTTACGGACGTCTGGTACGAAAGGATCGGAGGCAAAGTGGGAGCCAAAGTTCGCTTTGAGAAGCTGAGCCTTTCTACAAAGAGCTGGTGGGCGGCCAAAGGCTCTTCCGCTCCTGTTCCATATCATCAGCGCCCTGAGATTCAGGCCGAGTTCAACCACTGTGCCGCTTGCCAGACAGCTGTTCCACGTATATACAATGAAGGCTGGATGTGCCTGCAACCCACCTGCGACAGCTTCTGGAAAATCCACGGCTTCGAACCCCCTGTGGACCTTACGTTCCATCCCAACTTCATTGAAGCTCGAGCTTCTCCTGCTACTGAAGTTGTGCCACACCACGATCTGGTACCCAATCTGCTACCAACGCTAGAAGAAGACGGAGAAGGTGTCAGCTATTCTCGAATCGCGTGGAAGGGCATTGTCTGTCCACGTTGCCAAAAGTGCATATCCAGAAAGTATTGGCACGGCTGGAAATGCACAGATGAGCTCACTCCGATGTCGGGAAAAGGCGAGACAGGCTGCACATTCGAGAAAATGCTGACAGTGCAGCCGGTTTCCCTACGATCTGTTATTGATGACTTTGGCCTTGGGCCGAATAAACGCGCTTGTCATTTTGACCCCAGATTTGCCGTACCAGACATTGATGATAAGACACTATTTCCGTACAGAAAACTGACGTACCGAATTCCAGGTGTAGGCAGCATTACTCACTTTGTCGCCAACAGAATAATCAACAGTCGTCCCGACGGGCCCAACGATCTATTTCGACAGCTACAGGTTGCTGACTTTGGGCTGCGTCGTTATCCATTGCAGCAGAGTGTTGGTAAGCGAGCGACCTTTGTCTCTAAGACCATCCTTGTTCTTCTGACCAACAAATCTTCAGTCGCTGGAACCCTCACCGCACACTTTGCTGTGAATTATGTGAGTTGCCCATGGTGTGCTTTGTCGTCTTGCAACGCTGAACATTCTCAAAGGGGATGCCATATAAATATATTGTTTCAGTAGACTCCAGGCCCTTCACTGATGCTCCGCATGAAATCTTGCGGGCCTTGGGCCGATTGACGTGGGCAACTGAGCGAGCTGTAGCAGGCACTGGAGATGCCTTCCTTCCGCCAAATGAGCTACTCATGCTTGGCTACTTTGAAGACATGAAGATTGGGGTATGTTGAATGCCGTGTCCGTGCGGAGCGGGTTGCTGATGCCACATAAGTATCATGACGATGGGGAGTCGTCTCTCGGACCAACGATTGCCACGCTTTCCCTGGGTGCCAAGTCGGTCATGTCAATTCGGATGAAGTACAAGTACTACAACGGCTTGTCGAAAACCAAGACACTCTTGAAAGATGACCCCGTATTGGTGGGTTGTAGAATGGAAGCCGAACGACAGAGCCTGAAGGGTCAAATGGCAAACGGTGAGATTGACCAGACGACATACGACAGTCTACGGCGCAAGGCCTTGCAGAAGGGCAAATGCGGAGAGGCTCCCATAGAAATCAAGATGGAGCTGAACCATGGAGACTTAGTAGTCATGCACGGCAAGAACCTTCAGAAATACTACGAGGTAGATGGATCCCAAAAGTCGCGCATTATTAAGGAAATGATACTGACGCTTCGATAGCATGCGGTGACTCCAGACAAGAAGCTACGCTTCGCTCTGACCGCTCGTTATATACAACCAGACCACGTTGAACCGGAGCACCTGCCGAAAGGAGAATTTACACTGACACCTGATCAAATATATGATGGGAAATAAAGGGCTTCCCACCTTGAGAGATAGTGCTATAAAAGTTGTATCTTCGCAATATATCGACTAATGTTTTGCTTTTTTATGCTGTTATATTTCGATTCGATGCGCAAGTTTTCCGCGATCCTGTTGTTTTTCCAGTTTGCGATTGTGATGCCTGTTTCGACTCGGAATGCTTTGCTCTCCATGATGTATTATTTACGGACACTTATATACCTACCTGTTGAATCTCGTCACCGTTTTCTCCCAATGCAAGTTCGGATCAGCTTCCCGATGGTTGATTTCATAGTTTCGAATAGATTGAATTAGCTGCGGACATGAGATTACGAGCATGAGGGAAACAGGGCACATATGGTATAATTCAGCCTAGCAGAAGAACTACCTATGCATAAGGTAATGTTCCTCTGACGACGTGTAACTTGAACCCAACGTGGACTAGGATATTGGCGTGATGCAGAAGTTATATGTTTTCAACTCTGGTTTCCCCGTTGACGGGGCAGTTTGAACCTTCAAAACGGAACTAACAATATAGCGTCATTGATGATTGGTACAACAATGGACTTGTCTCAGTCAATGAACCAGATAGTTAGTGGCTGATTTCACCAATGATTTCGTGTTGGCTGTGCTATGGGCGCAGGAGCTGAGTGAGGATCCATCGGCCATTTTGCAGCTTTGGTATGTCCTTTCTGTCTTCACCATGTTCAAGTCTTTTTTCTCCTTACTAACTTCATATCGAGGATAATCATACTAGTATTGAGTACTCTGTAAATCTTGCTGATTCTACGAACACAACAAGTACCTAGTACATTGTTTCCCCGCAGCTCACGTGGCTCTGCGGTCCCTTGGGTCATGACAAAGCATGAGAGCACACACACGTGGGGAAATCATAGTCGTTAGTATTATTATTATCGCCCTTAGCCGTTTGCTGTTAGCTTTTCGAACTGGACTTAACCACGAGCCCCTTCCGAGTTCCACTGGATTGCTCCCGCGTGGATTGTCGCCTAAGGCCCAAGGCTTAAAGGGATACGTGACGATCGGTCCACTCACCTGAGCCTCAAATAATCTCACAGCAAGGGCTTTTTTCTCCCTTCCAAAACTCATCGGGTCGATCCTGAGAATTTAATACATGTCGGATATTTCCCTTTTCTACTTTATCCTTTTAATTTGACCGAGTTCGACTGTCTTTGTCTCCGTTGTCCCGCGGCAGTCGACTTGCGCTGCATTCACCGCAGCACCCTCGAACACCAAGGGAGCCCGAGAGACTCCATAGGGCGGGTTCGCAGTCCTCCTCATCGTCGCCATAAATCCCTCGGTCGCGTGATTTTGGAGTCCTCTGGCTTCACTAGCCGTGGACTTACTTAGCGACAATGGCTCATTATCAGAATGGCCAAACGCCCTATTACGGCCAGTCCAACAACCCTACCCCCTCGTCGACGCAACCTCCCTCGTCGAGTCGCTATGACCACTACAATACACAACAACAGAGCGCAAATTCTCAATTACGGCGGATGCCCAGCTATAACGTGGGGGATGACGCGGGCCTGTCCGGTGGAGGTTCCGGTGCTCAACACACCCGAACCGCCAACGGGTCCACGCGATATACCGGGCAAGCCAGTAATTATGGCACCGAGGACGGACAAGGGTCCTATAGCCTTGCGAACAGCGGACACGACGATATCTCAGGACCGCGATACGCGCATATCCCCTCCGGCGGGTCGCCGCACGTAACGCGAGACAGAGCTTCATCTCAGTCCAACTATTCCTACCAGTACTCGTCTATCGCCTCTCCGACGCAGTCGGCCTATAATCCTCAGCAATATGCCCTCCCACCTACTCCGTTGCAACAGCAGCTAGGCTACAATCCCCTAGCATATAACAGCTCCAGCAGCAATGCTTACACCGCTGGTGCGACCGCTGCCCACCAGCCGTACAATCCAGCGGCGTATCAGTCGGCAAGCCTCGCTGGATACGGGTCCCCAACTGTCCAACGACAGCCGAGTATAGCGAGTTTGTACGCACAGCCTCCGCAAACATCGCAGACATATTCCTCTCAGCAATCCCTGCCACCTCCCCCTCCTCCTCGAGGGCCAGATCATCCTTACGGAAGTCGCGCATCCGCCCCGTATCGAACTGACTCGCCAGCAACCCAGTATGGCTTTTCCAGTCAGTCATCTGCATCTCTAGCCTACAATGTCGCCCCACCGATGGGCCCTACCACACCTTATCCTTCCACAAGCTCATTGACCTCAACAACGATTGCATCAACCTTCACTCGCTCCCACGCCCACAGCTCACAGTTTCCCCTCTATACTGCGCAATCGCCCCACCACTCGGATGCAGCCATGGCGCCTTATCCTGACGAGCTCCCTCCAGAACCACCTGCGCACTCGACACCCGCGGAAGACTTATACGGTAAACGACTGAGCTTCAGCCGTCCAGGGTCGGGGCGGTCGCTGCCTACGCCTCCAATTCAACAGGCGCAATCGCAGACGTCTCCGCGCCGGACAGATACCTTGACTCGGCATCCCCAGTCGCGGCCCTTGCCCGGTCCACCAGTCGACGCGGACAGCGATTCACCGCCGCTCGATGATCTCAATGGGGTCGGTGGCCGAGATCCGCGGTCGGACCAACCGGTAGGTTATGACCATCTGATGAGGGAAGTGGAAACGGCTGTGATAGATGGTCGTATGAGTCGGGAGACACGCTATGACACTAGGCCACTGCGTGTTGACGCTCAGACCTCACGTCACGAAGAATATGACCCTAGTCCTCCCGTCACTGCCACCTCGAGTATGCGCTTGTCTCCTGACGAGAGGCACACGCACACAAACGGCACATTAGCGACGGGCACAGGCCAGTATGTTAACTATGATGCGTACAGCGACGACAGTGATGCGGAAGCCGCGGCCGGGCTGGCGATGCTGCAAATGGCAGACGAGGAGGACAGGATACAGGCCGAGCGGGAGCAAGCGCGCACACGGCGGGAGACTAATGCATCGATCATCAGTGCCTATGGAAGCCATTCATCGGCGCGAGCGCCATCACCTCGTCGAGAGTCTCGTCAAGATGAACTCCATTCCACGACCAATGCGACCTACAGCGGCAATCATTATGAGCGCTATCACTACGATGCTGACATGGATGAACATGCTGACGAGACTCGCAATGAAGGCGTAGATCAAGCCACAAGGCTTGCCCCCTCGGGCTCGATCCGCAGCTCCAACGTTTCTGCGGACGACCGCGGCGAGTACTCGGACGACTATGACTACTATCCTATACCCGATGATCAAGTGCACCAATATTATGACTACATTTCCGCGGCGCGGGTCGATGCTGCAGGCACTGGTGGCCTGTCAGAGCCTGGCGCCTACGAGCGTCGAATGAGCTTCGACTACGGTGACGAGGCTGACGCCTATCCCGATGATGTGCATCACTCAGGAAGTGAAGGATCCGATACAGGAGGAATGCCAGGGGACCTCTTTTTCCATCCCGGGATGCGGCCACTGCCACCGGCCCCCGTTGAACCAGCGAATAACGCAGATCTTATGCCCCACCTGATGCCGGCTGGGACATATAGGCCTCAGGAATCGGGTGAATACCCGGAAGAAACCCAGTATACAAGCCCTCAGTACCCTGTTTCTGCGGATTCGTTTGCGTCGACCGTGTCCACACCAACATCCCAAGTGCCACGGTCGACATCTCTGTCAAGTCATCCTATTGGACCCCGGACTGACCCCCCTATCAGGTCCAAGACCGATGCGGATCGGGCGAAGTACAAGCAGCAGCTGGATCTGCTTCGACAGCAACAGCATGGCGCCTTCAAACTTGATGCGGCCCAAGAGGCTCCTGCGATACCCCTGGACCTACCCACCATCCCTGCGGGACGTCGCAAGAAGTTCAATCCGTCTAAACTGTCCTCGGAACAATTCAGGAAATGTGTCGAACCTTGGGCGCTCAGTGCCGTTCTTGCTTGGATTCGCGATCTGTGCGAAGAGGAAACGGACCTGAGGAAATCGGCCATTGTCGACGCGATCGTCGCTTTGTTCACTCACAAGGTGCCGACGATGAATATCGCGGACGCCGAGACACTGGCTGCGCGAGTCGTTGAGAACATGCTGGAGCAGGAGGCTCTGGTGAAGGAAGAAGAATGGGTCAAGTTCGGCAGCGGCACCTTGTCGGGTGTTTTGTTCCAAATTACAGGTACTGGTTGCTATTCGCCCCTGCTACATGAACAGGAGACTGAGATCCTCGGACGCTGCTATTCGCACCACTGCATGCGAACGCTGAAGAAGGTCAACCTGAAAGCGCACAAGATGGCACCGCAAAAGAAGGTCGAGGACTGGGTCACATTCTACAAGGTTCCGAAGGAAGTGTGGGAGGCTTATCCGAAGAAAGAGGTGGACCGCCAGAACAACCTGCACGAGATTGTCACGACCGAGGATGCATTTATCGGACAGCTGGACGTCCTACGTGAACTCTACCGGGATCAGTTGGCAAATATGCAACCTGCCATCATTCCGCCGAAGAGATTACCGAAGTTCCTGAACGATGTTTTTGGAAAAGTAGATGCGGTCAAGAAGGTAAACGAGGAGTACCTCCTCGCGCAGCTCAAGTACCGGCAGAAGGAACAAGGCCCCTTCATTGTGGGCTTCAGTGACATTTTCCGAGAGTGGATTCGAAAGGCTAAGATGGTGTACATTGACTACGCGGCAACTTTTCCGTACGCCAACTACCTTGTCCGTAAGGAGATGGAGAGAAATGCCCACTTTCGACAGTTCTTGAACCAAGCTCGTGAGCACAAAATGTCGAATCGTCTCAGTTGGGATACCTATCTCAAAGCTCCGATCACTCGGATTCAGAGATACACCCTACTGTTGTCGACTGTCCACAAGAACATGGTCAAGGACTGCGAGGAAAAAACGAACCTGGCACAAGCTATTGATGAGATCAAGGTCGTGGCTCTGGATTGTGACAACAAAGTCGGCGAAACAAGCAAAAAGGTCGATCTGATGGAATTGTCTGCCAAACTGCAACTTAGACCGGAGATGAAGAAGGAAGTAGAGCTGAATCTGCAGCATCTTGGTCGCGAGATCATCTACCGAGGAGACTTGCAGCGCCCTGGTACACGCACTCGATTCCTCGTGGACACACATGCCATTCTTTTCGACCATTACCTCGTCCTTGCCAAACTGTCCACCACCCGTGATCCGACGAGGGGCATCAAATATGAAAGCTATGATGTGTCCAAGCTGCCCATTCCAATGGATCTTTTGGTACTCGAGAGCACGAATGATGATCCCGTCGTCAAGTCTTCCGTTCGAGGAGTTTCGACGGTCACTCCACCGCAAGCCACCACGCGTGGTGCAGGTGCTGCACCCCTCATACATTCCAATAGCGGCAATTCGGGTAACTCTACTTCTTCTTCCGGCAAGACATTGGTAGCAGCCACGGTACTTGAGAGTTCCAAAGATGACAAGATCCTATATCCGTTCAAGGTCAAACACCTTGGGAAGAACGGGACCTTTACGCTATACGCATTTTCCGCGCAGAACCGGCAGGAGTGGTGCGAGAAGATTATGGAAGCTAAGACGAGACATGCTGCTGCTCTCTTCGCGCAGAACGCCGAGCCCTTCCGACTTCGTGTGCTGGCTGACACGGCCTTTGCCTCTTCCGATCATTCAGGTATCTCCAAGAGGACAGTTACCATCAAAGGCACCCCTCTGGACCGAGCTATTCGGGAAGTCGAGGAGCGGTATGGGGGTTCAAAGTCTCGGCCTGTGCCGGTTTGCAGAACCAGCGTGCATTGCGCGACTGTATTCCAGCAGCCTCCAGGCCGGATGATGTGTGCGGTCGGTACTGATTACGGCGTGTACATTTCCGAGTACAATGACCCTCGCGGTTGGGTTCGAGTAAGTACTTTCAATTGTGGTCTATTGTCATCTGCTAAAATTGGTACTAGGCGATCCCGATCATACGAGTGTCGCAGATTGCGGTCTTTGAAGAGTTCAATCTCTTCCTGCTGATTGCCGACAAGTCCCTAATCGCGTATCACTTGGACGTCGTATGTCCTGCAAGTGGGGTTTCCTCGCAAACAACAAAGGACTCTGCTCGCCGGGCGCCGCAGAAGCTGTCTGGAAACCGGGAAGTTGGGTTCTTTGCAGCAGGTCATATGAAAGACCGTACTCTGGTGATGTACAAGAAGCGTGATGGACTGTCGTCCACCTTCAAGGTGCTGGAACCCGTGCTACAGAAGTCCACCACCAGCAAGAGTCGACTGTTCCATAGCCGTCGTTCCCAGACCGAGTTCTTCCGTGAATACGACGAGTTCTACATCCCTGCCGAGAGCTACGGGATCAACATGTTCCACTCATCCCTGGCGATCTCAACCCAGCGGGGCATCGAGATCCTCACCCTCGACAAGAAGCAAACCTGGTCCGTCCCCGATTTCCGGTCGGAAGCCCCAGAGGCACAAGCCCAGCTGAGCAGCATCGCCCACCGCATCAGTAACCTGCGTCCCCTGGGCATGTTCCGCCTAAGCGACAGCGAATTCCTCGTCGCCTACACCGACTGCGCCGTGTATGTTAACAAACACGGCGACGTCTCCCGCAGCGTCATCATGGAGTTCGTCGGCCGCGCCCATTCAGCCTGTTTGTACGGCAAGTTCCTGATCCTCTTCAACGAGGACTTCGTCGAGGTCCGCAACGCCATGAACGGCCGCCTAAGGCAGGTCATCCCGGGCCACAATGTTGTCTGCCTCGACGACGGGAGCACTCTGCCCGGGTCTGGCGCGAACACCGTCCCGACTAACTCAGGGACCTCCATCAACCTAGCCAGCGGGCTCTCGAACGGCGTCGCGATGGCCAGTAATGGCCGCACCGTCAAGATCTGCATGCAGCATCCGGAATACGAGCGGAGTCAGCTCGTGCTCGAGCTCATCGAGAACGAGGGACAGAAGGAGTAAAGTAACCGCTCTCTGCATCTTCCTCTTTATCCACTTTTGAAGCGATGGATCTATTCCACCTTTGTCACTACTTCTTTGCTACCTGCGATTCACAATTACCTTGATGCTGGGTAAGCTCACGCACTACTTATTGACTTTTTAATGTGCTTATTATACCCTCTGTCTGCTCGGACTGACATCACATACCTCTCATGATTAACGATGTTGATACCAGTCTATTGATGTACATACCTCTGATTCAGATTCAACATTCAACGTGCTAGATGCATTGATCTTTCCCATCTGCCGTATTTGTTCAAGGATTGGCTTCTGCACCATCGCCTCCGTGGTTTATATCCCTTACATAGAGCCAACGCTACGTTTCCGGATTTAGATTTGAAGAAATAAACGAGGCTGTAATCATAACTGAATTCAGATCTCAGAACCCCATAATGCCTACCAGCTATGCAATATACACTACCAAACATAACGACGTGAACATCGATGTCGCCCAAATACCACCAGACCCAAAGATGACCTCCATGGAAAAATGCTAAAGCACAAAGACCAATACTAATACCAGTACTATGAGTCGAATTCGACGACTTTACTGACGACGCGGTCATGTTCAGGATCTGATGCCCGTCGGGCTGATGTGTCTGCCTGCGAGGCATGACCACTGCTACTGCTAGCTTCGCCTGAGCCCCGATGACCGTCTTTGCCATCGATGAGCGAGGCGGAATCCTTCTCGCGGACACTGAGCACTTCGGCTCCCTCGAGGAGGTCACGGTCTGCGTCGCGGACGCTGCGGCGCTCAGGGTCGGCGCCGTATGCCCCAGCGCCCCAGCTAGATATTCCTCCGACCATGACGGCCGAAGCGGCGGCGCCGGTGCGGGGATCGAAATCGTCCTCCTCGTCTTCGTCGTCTTCTTCTCGGCTGAGAGCATTGCGCTCCAGTTCCCGTTGGGCCTCGTCCATTCGCTTCTTGACCTCGGCGGCCATTCGGATCCCGTCGGAGACGATGTTGTCCAGGACGCCACGGAGACCTTTGCCTGGGGGAACGATGCCGCCGGATGCCCCACCAACTGGTGCACCTGATACGGCGCTGCCTGGGGCTTTAGCGGTGCCGATGTTTGAGAAGGTGGTCAGATTAGACGAAAGGGATGTGGTTGTTGATGCAGGGTGGGGATGATCGGAAAGACGGAAGGACTGGGGGAAGAAGGTCTCAAAGAATTGCTCCAACAGCTCATCAGCCAGAATGACCATTCGGAAAGTGGGGAGGGTGATATGAAGGGGATTGTTGGGATCAAGCGCCGGATTGGCAGCTTCTGATGTCTTGCGATTATGCTCTGTGTTGGCATCCGCATCGTGCTCGTTACCCGGCGCTTGTGGCGTAGGAGCTTCCTTGGGTTTGTTGTTCTCTTCCATGTCGATAAGATCCTCCTCGTCGTCATCTCCAATAGCAAACGAACCCAGCTTGTCAGCTGCCTCATCCGTATCATTGACATTTTCGGTTGTCTTGCCCTCGGGTTTGCTAGGATCAGCATACTCGAAACATCGACGGATGAACGAGCTGACGCTACCCAGGAATCTTTCATCGGTGCTCAGCTTATCCCGTTCTGGGTGGTTCCGGTCATTCAAATCTTCCAGAGATTGACTCGGCGTGATGGTACCGTCGAACCCTCGGCGAGAAAGGAAGAGCAAAGCTTCTGACATCCGGAGTATGCCTTCCCGGTCGATCTTTCCATCGCGATTGTCATCATACAGATCGAAGAAGTAGTTAATGCTATTCATGATATCCCGCGTGCCCTTCAGCCGTGCAAGGCCATTTACCACGTTTTGCAAACTCAGGCCTTCGGACGGATCCGTGGCCCATTTGCGGAACAGTCTTTGCATGAATTCGTGGTCTGCAGGTTCAGGCTTATGATTCATTCCGGATGCCCATTTGCCGAAGCCTCTAAAGCTGCCATTCATATCGGCCGACGACTCCTTCCGCGATGGCCCGGGAGAATCGGTAACAGCCCATTTCGCTGTAATAGCGAGGAAATCGCGGAAAGCGTCGTAATCCATATGAGTTGGGCTGGGTCCAAGGCCGACCCGGCCCACTTCTTGGTCTACCGGAGGGCCGAGTATTGAAGCTCGTTCGGCCTTTTTCTTCTCCTGGCGCTTCTTTTCCTCGTCGATAAGCCTTTGCCTCTGCTGGTGGTCATACAGCACTTCGTAGAATCGGTCATAGATCAGACCCAGATCATCCATGCTGAGGCGTTTGCTGTCGGGGCCAAGGTTCCGAATAGACGTGCGCTTCGCAAAACTCTCAATATTCTCGAGAACCGCGTCCTTGTGCTTCTCACGCTGTTCAGTGATGGTGCTATGTGTGATGCCCGAGAATTCTTTGAAAGCAACAACCATCAACTCTTGGAATCGCGTGATCGCTCTTAGCTTTGGATTCTCCGATTTTGGATGTGCCGACTCATCCAAACGTGAGAAGTAAGATTTGAGGACCGAGATGAAAGACCCGTCGTCTTGAACATCCAGGAGCTCTTCGCCGTTGATGCGCAGGATGGCGAGACCGACTTGAAAGAGTACCTTTGGGCCTTCTAAGAAAAAGACATCCAACACCCGGAATGCAAAAACCAGTGGCATAGAGTTGATGTATAGCGAGAGAAACCAAGGAAGGGAAACGACGGACAGCTGAACATCAGACTTGGAAAGGTGGTCCCACAATACCGGCATGGTCTTCTCTACCAATGACTCGAACACCTTCTGATCCAGCAGGGTGCCGTACATGGTTGTGGAATAGTACCCCGGCAAAAGACGATCGCATAGTACGGACAACAGGAAGAACGCTTGCGTCTCTGACATATATCTGTGCGGGTCAGCAGCGGTGGTCAGCAGGGTAGGGACTGGCATACATCAACAGAGCCGCTACAACAATATTCATAGCCTGACAATATCCAATCTCCGCATTAGTCCAACTGTAAGCTGTCAGGACCCTTCGCAGCCGGCCGATGCCCTCTTCACTTTGAAAGCCGGGGTACTCTGGGAGACTCCGGTTCAGGTCCTTCTCGATTTCGTCGATTGCTAAAGACTCCTGGCCGGAGAATTTGGCCAAGGTATCTGTGTATAGCTTGGGAGACCTCAGCCGCAGGTACAAAGACCCTGAGGTCACCTCCCATATCTCTCCACGTAAACGATTTGGTAGACCGACGCGAATCAGCTTATGAAAGGTCGGCTGCCGAACCAATGTTGCGTTCCGGCCATTTTCTAGATCGCAAGACATCTTAATGAAAGCTCTCTATCCATTGCAATGTTCCATACCTCTGAAGTATTCCCCCCATAATCTCATCTTGCTGCGATCCCGCAGTTTGCGAGCATCACCAGGATAACGGAATATCATTCCCAGACCAGCATCTGGGGGTTGGCGCGCTTCAGCATTATTTGGATTCTGGTCTTTAGTCTTGGCCCCGGAGAGCAAGTATTCCGAGTAACAGTCGTTTACAACCACCCGTAGATTCTCAATCTCCTTCATCGCTTCCCGCAGTCCCTTCTTTAAGCCATCACAAAATCGTTCGCAGGCCTGCCTGCTCCCCACCAGCTGGATGGTGAATTTCTGCGGAACAAAACCCGGAGGTTGCTGCTTTCCCAGAGCGCCATTCCACGTAGTCAACGCGAGTGAGAAGACGTGACTGAGACTATTCAGCCTTTCCACCCGCCGGATACAGCAGAGCGGAAGGGTGAAGCCATTGCCGGAAGGCCCGGTGCCGTTCGTCTGACCGGTCCACTGCGTAGAGGCGCTGAGTGTCGCGGAAGGGGCGAAGCTAGTCGGCTGCGTGGAGAAGCAGAGAAAGCGTTCGCTCAGATGGAGTCTCCCGGCATACCGATTGCCTGCGCGGTCGAGAGGCCGAGACTGATCGCCTTGCGACGTAGACGACGGAGAGGTATGCGGAACAGGCAGGATTAACTCGGCGGTGATTTCCTGCAATGGGTTTTGGGAATCAGGGAGACGGAACTGCTGACGGAAGAGGGACGCTTTGGATGGATTGCGATCGGAGGATGTCAGAGTCGGAAGGTTGAAATTGGCCGGGTCGATAAAAGACTGGGCTTTTTGGACGAATGACGACCAGTGCAACATGATGTGCACAGAGTTATTGAGAGAATGGAGGTCAAAGATAATAGAATGTTGATTCAAATCCTCCCGCTGACAACAGGTGCGGGATGCTGGGAGCCTGGTCCGGCGCGAGCTGACAGCTACCGAAGCTCAGACGGCAGTCAGACTCGGGTAGAGAATTTGGATGAAAATCCACACTGGATCGTATAGTAAGTGTGGATCATCTTATAAACAGTCGCAGCATGCTAGAATACAGCCTAAAAGTTGCGACGAATTCCCAAGTCCGACGCTGATGTTGTTGTTGGCCGGAAGAGGGGAATGCGAGAGACAGTGAGTGTGTTCCTGGGCAGGCATCCACGAGTCACGTGATGGACAAGTTGCGTGAGACATTAGTCTAGTTCTCGTCGATCGCTGAGGTAGTAAACGCCAGTAATTAGTTTTATGATGACATCGGAATCAAATTGTAGCTTATTATCTTGAAAGGACAAGCACAATGGATTAGTTTGTTACGGAGTACTACTGACATAAAAGGACCATTGCCTTGCTCCTGCTAACTACTAACTAGTGGTAACAAAGCTTGCTAATCCGCGAGATTATAGAAGCAACGCAATGGTAAGCAAACGGAAAGGCGACGAGTGCGAGACAAACAGAAAATACCGAGGGAATGTGGGAAAAGGTATAATCTGGATCGCAGAGTAGGCAAATCGAACATGGTAAATGAGTCGTCCGCCGATAACTGACAGGCATAAGCTCCACCAAGCCATCCTCTCCAATCGGCACAGAACTGCTGTCTCACGTGTCCTATCAACCAATCCAGATTGTTGCAACCGACTGTTCACTGCTTGGTGTCGGACACCTCGACAGTCTCATCATCACTGTAAGCAGGAGGAAGCTCGTCGGACGCCTCAGTCAT